AAAATGTTAAAAAAAAAAAAAAGAAAATGTCAAAGGGCAGCTCAAGATAAAGACAAGTATTATAATGAAATGTGCAAAGATGTGGAGTTAGAAAGCCAAGAAGAAAATACACACTCAGCATATCTCAAGCTGAAAGAACTAAAGAAAATGTTGAAGCCTCGAGTTGAGATATTGAAAGAGTCTATGGGCAAAATATTGAAATGATATATAACTGAAATGATATATAACAACACTATACCAAAAAGAACTGGTCAACAGTCAACCATTTCAAGAGGTAGCATATGATCAACAACCTCTAATACTGAACAAAGAAGCCCAAGCTACACTGAAGTCATTAATGGAAAACAAGGCTCCAGGATTTGACATAATTCCAATGGAAATGTTTCAACAGCTAATAAGGCACTCAAATGCAATTCCCACCTCTCTGTCATTGAGTTGATTCTGACTCCGACTGACACTCAAGCACAGGGTGGAACTGTTCCTCTGGGTTTCTGACCTGCACTGCTATACCACCAAGGCTCATTGTGCCCCTTCATCTATTGCCAAAGGAGGCAATACCACCTCCTGGGGCACTGGAATGATCCAGGGGAGCTGAAAACGCATGCACCTGCACTTTATTCTTGACTGTGAGCTGTCGTATGCATGTTTTTCATTGCCAGTGGGTACTGAATGATTTTTTTCCCTGAAAGGGGCGCAGTAGGCCAAAAGAGTTTGGAAATGAATCTATGGCCTATGCCAAGAAAATTAGAAGATAGATACCTGCTCATTTCAAATTATTGAACAATATCAGTAATATCACATGCAGGTATAATTTTCTGAAGATAATTCACCAATGGTTGCAGCAGTACTCAGAGAGCTACCAGGAATTCAAGCTGGATTCAGAAGATTTTGTGGCACAAGGGTTATCACTGTTGAAGTTAGATGGATCTTGGCTGAGAATAGAAAATACCAGCAGGATGATTACTTGTGTTTCATTTGATTATCCGTTTCATTTGATTATCCAAAGGCATTTGCCGGTGTAACTCATAACAACCTATGGATAACATTCCGAGGAATGGGAATCCAGAACACTTTATTCTGCTCATGCGAAAACGATGCATGGACCAAAAACTGTTCAAACAGAACGAGGGAGCCCTTTAAAATCAGTCTTGTACTGTTTATCCATATGTAGTATCCATTCTGTATTATGAGCATGTAATCCAGACACAGCTTATGAAGAAGGCTGACATTTGAGTTGGAGGAATGTTTATTAAGCACTGGTGATATGGAGATGACACCACCTTGCTCGCTGAAAGCAAGAGGATTGGAAGCACTCGCTGAGAAGACCTAGGACTGCAGCCTTCAATATGGATTACAGCTAAATGCAAAAATACCAAAAGTCCTCACAGATGGACCAACATCATGATGAACAGAAAAAAGATGGGAATTGTCAAGGATTTAATTGTTCCTGGATGCACAATCAAAGCAGCAGTGAAGAAACTAAATAACATATTTCATTGGGCAAGTCTAATTTGAAGATTAAGTATTCCTGACCCAAGCCAAGGTATTTCCAATCTCTCTATATGCATGTGAAAGGTAGACAATGAATAAGGAAGACTAAATGCATTTGAATTATGGTATTGGAGAAGATTATTCAAAGTACAGTGGACTACAGAACAAAGCAATCTGCCTTGGAGAAAGTACAGCCAGAATACTCCTTAAAGAACAATTGTACATTAAGAAAGCAGCCCAGTCCAGATCAAGCCCATAAGTCCGATATTAGCCCAAATGTCTGATACCAGTCTATAAAGTCCTCTTCAGACTCACGCAGCACATGCAGTGACACCAAATGCAGGAGGATCACAGGCCAGTGGATGGAAAGTCTTGTGGCCATGTAAGCATCTCAGTGCTGGTGTGGGTTTCCACATGGCTCCTCCAGCTCCAGGGCTCTAGCTGCATCAGTGTAGCTCCATGTGGCTTGTCAACAGGAATGTCTTACGGGGAGAGTTTGCCTGACTTCCAGTGAGCTGTTTATTTCCTTTGCACCTCCAAATGAGATCATCAAGCTGTGACCTGATTGACAGCCTAAACCCCACCCCTTCACTCTTAGTATTCTCAAGTTGACACCAGATTATGTAACTACTACACCCCTTTTTTGAGTTGATTGTTTTTCTTCTCGTTGTGTTGTTGGAAGCTTTCCATATATTTTAGAGATTAGGCCCTTATCAGATACGTTGTTGCCAAACATTGGCTCTTACATAATTTATTATTTTTTCAACAGTTTTATTGGCATATTAATCACATACCATACAATGCAATAGTTCAGTCACATCAAGAAGAGTCATGCAATCATCACCACAACCAGTTTTAGAACAACTTCTTCATTCTTGTACTCATTCTTATTACCCATTTTCCCCATCTTTCCCTGTCAAACTCCCATGGAACCATTAATGTAGTTACTGTCCTTATGGATTTCCTTATCCTGAATTTCATACATAGAAAAACATTACAAAGAAACAAAAACTAAAAAGAATAACAAAGTCAAACAGATAAAAACCTCAGTCAAAAAGAAAGCTGAAAATATTAAAAACTAATGAGAAAATGTCTTCGTAACTTTAACAGCCTAAACTTCCTATCACTATTTCTGAAGCCTAAATAATCTTGACTGATGCTTGAAGTATATTTAAATCTCATTTTATGTAATTATGATACTGTCAGTACTGAAATGCTTATTGGGATAAACAACTTAATATTTGACTATGTTTTTCAGGCAGCACAAAAGGGAAGATGCAGCTACTGAACAAAAAGAAGAAATCAAACATGAAAAAGCACCTGGAAAAGCATCACAGCATTCACAACCCTGTGTCCGGAGAGGACGGATATATCATGCTAAGTTCATGAACACAAACGCAAGAACATACAATGAACCAGTTCCCTACATAGATCACAGAAAGGGGCCAGAACAGCAGGTGGGACGGACTTTTGTTACATACAAACAGAGACTTGGAAGCTGTTCTGCTGGATAATTTGGTCACAGATGCTTTAAGGGCCATGGCACGTCTTCGTGTCGTGCCTTTATAGACCAGTAGTTGAAGGCAGCAGTCCGGAGCTACTTTAGAGACTAATTTGTACATTCAAACCATGATAGAAGGAGGCTCCAAAAAGTTCCCGGAAAATTCCATCATCTTTTCATTCCATTTTCCCATAAACGTTCTGAGGCCTCTTGTATTCACTGTTTGGAGCTTTGGTGGGTGAGTGTATTGTGAGTTGGGCTTCTAACCTCCAAGTCAGCAGTTCAAACCCACCAGATGCCCCTGGAGGGAAAGATGACACTCTGGTAAAGATTCGTAGCCTCAGAAATCCATGGAGGAGTCCTACGTGCCCTCAAATGTCGCTATGAGTCAAATTGACGGGCTGGCCGTGAGATTTATACGGTTTTTCCAGATAGTTTCATCGTTATTGGCATTTAGAGATATGTGTGTATACATATCTCCGAACCAAGTAATTATTGTAAATAATTATTTTTACAGTCTGAGTCCATTTATAGTCACTATGTTGGACTTAGGGGTTATTAGAAATATATTTAATAAAGTATATTTATTAGACATTTCCTCTATAATGTATTTGTGACACATTCTAATATTAAAATCTCCCTTAATACTCAGTAATTTTCCCATGTTTTATAAAATGATAACTATCATTTTTAAAAAGCATATCAATTGCTAGAGCAAAGTGCTTTATGTAAAGTGTATACTTTGATCTGCACAACGATTTGTGCGAGGTATTAGAAATGTTTTGCAGGTAAGAATACCAAACTTCAGAGGCAAATTAACTTACTCAAGTTTACTTAGTTAGCCAGGGAGAGCCCATATGTTTCAAATCCAAAGTGTAGGCTTAGTCGAACCACACTGATTAATTATGTCATATTGAAATGTATTTCATTATCTTTTTTCTTCTAAGTCAGGTTTGGTGAGGTATAGTGTGCTGTGTTAGTTTCCTGTTGCTGCTATAACCAATGACCACAACCAGTGGCTTAAAACAACAGGTTTATTCTCGTAGAGTTCTGAAGGCCAGCCGTCCAGACTCAATCTCACTGGGCTATAGCCCAAGTGCTAACAGTGCTAAGTTACTTGTGGGGGCGCTCATTTGCTTTCTTGCCTAGGAGTCAGCCTGTACTCTTTGGCTCATGCACCGTCTTTACAGCCAGGAGAATAATATCTTCAGATCTCTAACTCATTCTTTTGCCTTGGGAACCATTGTGATCAAGTTGGGCCCACCCAGATAACCCAGGATAATTTTCCCATCTCCAGCTCTGTCTTTAATATTTAATTATATCTGCAAATATCCTTTGCTAGATACAGTGAAATATTCATAGCTGTGAACATCTTCGGATGAGGTGTGTAGTATTTGGCCAACTAGAGTTATAGTCCTGAAAATTCCATTTTTAGTGCATAAGTCTGTGGTTTGTTTTTTTTTGCAAATGCATACAGTCAAGTTAGGATTTTTCATCACCCAAAAAACTTCCCAGTGCATCAGGGTAGCCATCCTCAGCTCCACTCCAGATCCCGGAAACCAGCCATCTGTTTCCTTGCACATTGCCTTTCCCAGAAAGCCAGATCAGGGGAGTCAAGCTGTGTGGGGCTTGCTGAGCAGCGTCTTTCTCTCGGGATGTTGCCTGAGGCTCATCCTTACTGTTGCATGTAACGCTAGTTCCTCACGCTCTTACGTGCCGCGGTTGCCTTTTCTCAGGGTTCCTTATTTGTAAATGATCAATCAGTTCTTTTTATTTAGTCAGAAGTTGACAACAACAATTACCCTCTGTTTTAGTACTCTATTATCCCCCTACCTAGTTCAGTCGCATTATTATATATCTTCAAATACATCACAAGTAATCCATGAAAATGTCCTATAGCACTCAATTTGGTTTCCACCTTTTTTCCATAAAGGGAGACTGGTGGTGGCATTACAAGGTGCCAGAACATTCCTGTCAACCACCCTATGACACTAAGAGCACCCAGAGGAGTGACTTCCAGATACCAGCCTATCCGTTGGTTTTGCCAGTCAAGCACAGCAGGCTACAAAAGCCTTCTTCGGGAATAGGTAGGTAAGGTTAATGTCGTTCACCTCTTCTCATGGTCTCAGACTGTTGCTCTAGAACAAGATGCGGGAGTTGTGCTGTCACCTCCACAGGGAATGGCTTCTTTACAGGAATTCGAACCCTGCACTCACTCAGTGCAGACCTTCCTGAGCTTGTTCCATATCCCTTCTGAGGGGAAAGTTTATTCCCAAACATGGCTCATGAAACGAGTGGGTTGTACAGAAAACATTAGCTTTCAGCTCTTGGAGGTTGCCACCAAAAATTTCATGATGTATCCTATTAGAACAGCAGGCAGCACTGCGTGAATCTTGCTTGACTCGAGGAACACTGTTTTACTTGATGTTTACAGAGATGCTCAGAAGAGTGACCCTATAGGACAGGGTAGACCTGCCCGGGTAGGTTTCTAAGACTGTTACTCTTTATAGAAGTAGAAAGCTGCTGCTTTCTCCCTCAGAGCTGCCTAGTGGTTTCAAGCAGCTGACCTTGCAGTTAGCAGCCCAGCACTTAATCACAACACCAAAGTGCAGTAAAAGGAAGAAGTGGTCAAATAAGTTTGACAAAAACTAAAATGCAATATTGAACAGGTTTCATGACTACAGAACTTTCAAAACTTTTATTCTCAACATAAAAACTCACTGCCATCAAGTTGATTCTTGCTCGTGGGGACCTCACATAGGGGTTCCGAGGCCATAACTCTCGGAAGGAGCAAATAGCGTCATCTTTCTTGAGTAGAGCAGCAGGTGAATTTGAACTACTGGCCTTTCAGTTAGCAGCCCAAATCATAATTTACCATGACACCCGGTGTTCTTATTCGGTTTGTTCCCCAAGCCCAAAGGACATTTAAACAGAATGCAATTGGAGTTCCTCGAGGATGCCTACTTTCTTGATGCAATGAAAATTGAAGTGCGCAGAACTTTTTTGGAGACGAGTTAGAGAGATGGAAACAGTGTTTTCAGAAGCATATAGATTCTAGAGGGAGGATATATTGAGAAATACTAAAGCTAGTGATGAAGAAATTGAAGAATTCTACTGACTTCTTAGTTGGAAATTGATCAAAAATAGCTATAATACTTAGGGACTTCTCTGGATGGAACTCAGAGAAATTACTTTTCTGTGGGAAGAGATGATGGGAGAAGCTTAATATTAGCAGACCAAACGAGGCAAGGGCTGACTGTAGAACAAATCATCAATTGCTCATATGACAGTTCAAGATGAAGGTGAAGTAAATTAAAACAAGGTTAAGTCTAATATTGGCCATATGTCCGATACCAGTCTATAAATTCCTCTTCAGACTCACGCAACACATGCAGACACCGAATGCAGGAAGATCACAGGCCAGGGGATAGAAAGTCTTGTGGATCCAGTGGTGATGGAAGCATCTTGTTGCTGGCAGGGTCTCCACACAGCTCCTCCAGCCCCAAGGCACTGGTTCCATCAGCGTAGCTCCATGTGGTTTGTCAATAGCAATGTCTTGCAGGGAGACAGCAAAGGTGTGTCTGCCTCCAGTGAGCTAATTATCTCTGTCATACCTCCAAATGAGGTTGACAAGCTACAACCTGATTGACAGGTGTGCCTCCACCCCTTTGCAAGTTGACAGGAGATTATGTAATCCCCACACACTCTTCTGGGTCAGTACCCACTTGTGTTGCAGAAGTTTGTTATTCATCCTCCAGTTGTTTGCCCTTGTTTTTCTGATTGTCCTTTTGTTTATCTCTAGCTTTATGGCATGATGGTCCAAAGAGGGATGTCTAAGTGATCTCTGTTTGAATTTACTCAGGCTTGACTTGTGTCCCAGGATGTAGTCTATTTTCAGAAATGAGCCATGTGCCCTTGAAAACAATGGGAAACTTTTGCATTTGGATGGAGAGCTCTATAAATGTCTATCAGGTCCAGTCACCTAATTGTAATGCATAGGAATCCTCCTTGCTGAGCTTCTTTCCCAGTGATCTATCTTTCTCTGATAGTGGTGTTTTAAAGTCAGCTACTATGGTTATTGAGTCTGTGATTTCTTTTTTTCATCTCTTGAATAGTTTGATGAATTTCATGGGTCTCTTGTTAGGTGCATATTCATTTACTATGCTCACTGGTTCCTGGTCTACGGATCATCTGAGCATGATATAGTGCCCATCCTTGTCTCTTGTTATGATTTGCTCCTTGAGGTCAATTTTGTTGGAGATTAGGATTGCAACCCCTACTTTTTAAAAATTGCTGTTTGCCTGGTATATTTTCTGCCATTCTTTTATTCTTAGTCTATTTTTGTCTGTGAGCTTAAGATGTGTCTCTTGCAGGCAACAGATTGCGAGGTTATGTTTTCTGAGCCAGTCTGCTAACCTTTGTCTTTTAATGAATGAGTTCAGGCCATTGACATTCAGAGTTATTACCACCATCTGTGGATTCATTGCTCTCATCTCGTAACCTATTGTGTTGGGCATTTTCCTATCTCCCTTCCTATCAGTGTGCTGTATTTATGGGGAGGGTTCATTTTTGCCTTCTTTTCCCTCTGAGGCAATGATATCTTAGTCATTGTTTTTGGTGCCTTGACTTCTGGATGGAGTTGCGCTATATGCCAGTCTTCTGCTTGTACTTGATGAATGTTGGTTTTCTGACCACAGTGAGACGGGAAGGATTTTCCTCAGGGTTGGGTGTTTTATGGTGTATTCTTTGAGTTTTTCCTTGTCCAGGAAGACTCTTACCTCTCCATCTGTCTTAATAGATAGTTTGGCAGGGTAGAGGATTCTCACCTCTTCTAGTCTGTTGGAGAGGTCCGCCATCTTGTGTTTTACTTCTCTTACCTCATCCATTAGTTCTGGTATTTACCTTTGGTACATGGACCTCATCCCCTCTATCATGGACTTCATCTCCTTTATCATTGAGTCCTTATTCTGAGTGGTTTCCCTCATATCCTGTATTATTCCAAGCAGCGTTCTGAAGATTTTTTTTTTCATTGAGGACCAACATCTGCTTCTTCTGTGGATGTCATTAGGTTTAGGACTTCTTCCAATGTTGTGTTTTGTTTTTCTTGTTGAGGGTGTTGAGGTATGTTACTGTCTGCGTGACGTTTTGGAAGAACTCGTTGTCTTGTTCTTGGAAGGCTGAAGGGCCCTGAATTCTCTCTCTGTGTGACTAGTAAGAGTGGTTTCTAGGACAACCTGTGGTGGGTCAGGCTGTTGTGTAGGTGAGATGCTGTGGTGAGGCTGGCAACTGTAGGTATGCCACTGGACTGGGTTGGGGTGAGCCTGCAGCATTGGCACGGGCCTGGTTTGGACTGTCTGACCACAATTTGCAGTCTTTTAAAGACTCTCTGTGGAGCCAAAAGCTGGTAGACTTGAACAGTGGCTTTCAGCTCCCAGCTTTTTCTGTTTTGTTATGTTAAAATCCTAGTCTGAGCTCTGAGGATTAGAGTTGTGCCTACCTTGTTATGTTAATATTATGCTAACATACCAAAACCAGGTTTCTGGCTGCTTACTTTCAAAATTGCACAAAGGAACACAGCCTGGAATTATAAGTGTTAAAATTTTTTTTCTTTATATGATGGGCTTGACCAGATTAGCTTTGTTGGTTTGGGGCAGACTGGATCTGAATTCTTCCCCGGCTGCACTCCTGGCTCTCTCCTGCACAGCTATGTCATGGGTAAATATCCCAGGGGCTCTTCAATTGTGGCAAATTAGTGACTAATTATCTATTGTTATCCAGGCTGGCAGGCATGGAGCTGGGGAGAGGGGGAAGAGGGATAACCCATGTATTCACTCAGTTCTTGGCTGGGGAGGGAGGATGCAAAGCTCAGGAATGCGGGGGTGGGGGGGGATGACAGAGAGGAACTCTGGTGTGAAGTCTTGTGGCTAGTTCTTGGAGGCTCTCTGCATGCCTGGGATTATAACCACTTTTAGACAGCAGCCTGGGGAAATTACTGCATGCATTGAGTCCCAGATCTTGGGCTCAGGAAGGGGTAGAGGGTGCTGTCTGGCTGGATCTGGTGAGGGATTAGTGGAGCCGCGGACAGACACAGTGAACTTAGGGTTTCAGTGAGTTCTTGAATTGCTCCAGGGTCAAAAATCACAGGGGGGGTCTGAACCAGACCCTAGTACACTGAGTCTATTTCTAGCACCCAACTTCCCATATTGGTCTCCTTCCCTCTTAATTTTCTGATCTAACAGCAGGAGCACTGGGTGGGTGATTCTACCTGGATGCCATCTTGACTTCTCCTCTGAATACTTGGTATTTGAATACAAATAATTTGACTTCAGTGCCTGTATTCCTCAAAATCAGTATTCTATACTTCCAGAATATTAATAAAAAGAAAGTTTCCCAATATAATACAGGCATTGAAAGCCCCCCACCCACCCACTCACCCACGGGCTTCCAAATTGGAAAGAAAAAAAGGACACACACTTACACATCATGAAGTTGCAAAACACTAATTGTAAAGAAAGGATTCTAAAAGCTTCCAGATAGAAAAAGAAAAATAAGTCATCATCTAGGAAATAAAAGTCAATTAGGGTGGTGCCTGGCTATCAAAAAGAACAGCATTTGGAATCTAAAAGGCTTGTCTTTAAGCAAGCAGTCGTCTAAGCGAAGCATCGATTTAAGTCCATATGGAAAAAGCACACTAACCTATGTGATTCAAGGATTTTAAATCATAAAATCCAAATCTGAAGAAGAGACTGGTATCAGAGCTCAAATAATGAACACTCATTTGCAGAAGACTGTGGATGACAGTGGAAGGCCAAATTCCATTTGAAGAGTGCCCATATGGATTAAGCTTCCAGCAAATCCCTTCTGACCATAGTACAGGGATATGAGTAGCCTTGGTATCACAACAGAGTGTATGATAAAGTTGATTATGGAAGATGCAGTTAGGTTAAAATGTACCACCTGATCATTTGATCACTCTTTTAACCCATGTTACAGTTACACTCTCTCCTGTCAAGTTAAGCAAAGGGGTGGAGTCTAGTCTGTCAATCAGTACGTAGCCAGTGATGCCTGTGTGTGGTCATAGCCTTCT